TGATCCTTGAGCTGCCACCGACGGGCACTTGCCACATCCACCAATGCCACCACCAGCATCAGCACCACCAGGTGCTGCCAACTGTCCTTTGTCAGCCTGGCCAGGATGGCAGCATTCTCCTCCATGACTGCAGGCAGCCACACATGTGGCCACAACACCATCCCAGCCTCTGCAGGCACCTTTGCTGCCACCGCTGCCCCCTCAGCAGCTGGCACAACTTTGGCCAGAGCGGCCTTGGTGATGATGAGCACTGGCGGCGTTCCATCGTCATCATCTGAGATGCACAACAGAGAGATTACGCAACAATTCAACCAGCCAGACCAGACAGAGCAACTTACCGGCAACACCATTTTCGAATACGTCCTTGTCAGATGCACATCGTTTTGGTATCACGGGGGATCCCCGCTGTGTTCACATTTTCTTCCACCATCCATGTCCTTTGCCATCAAGATCCACAAGCTTTTGTTTCTTATGTTGTGGCTGTGGCACTTCTTGACAATGACAGGCGGATCTGCACGATATGACGCAAATGGTTGCTTGGATCTGATCATGTTGATTACGTATCTATGCGATGTTGCACTTTCTTTTTGTTCTTTCTTGTTTGATACTCGAGTTGCTGCAAAGATCTGGAAAGAAACAAGGAAGACACACCTCAGCACTCTGCCTTTGGGAACAAACAAGCAATGCTGAGATCACGTTGCACTGGTGCACCACAGGGACACACTTCTGAGCTCAGCAGGGCCGGCATTTACGCACGTAACTATAAGACCCCCCTCTGGCAGCAGCACCAGTGAAATCTGGGTCCCTCTGGGGCTTGTGCAGCCCCCAAGGATGCACATGCATGTCTGGGTGCCAGCCTCAACCAAGATGGCCGTCTGCGCATTCACAGAATGGCAACGAACACCCCAAAGGCTGCCATGTCAGCAATCGATGGTAAACCTGCAGCCCATCAATGTTTGTTCTGTTCACAGGGGCACCCCAATTACTGTTCATACGCAGTAGGACCAGATCACAGGCCGCCGCACCCAAGCAGTGACAAGAGCAGTGCAGAGGGATCTTGCCGCACACGACGCAACAATTGTCACCTCCTATGTGCACCAAAGAACCTGGTCCTACCTTTGACACATTGACTTGACAAAATTGGCCAACGCACTTTTGTTTGAACAGACTTTCAGGACCTCCACCCTGGGCAGGATCCCTGATGTGAATGACCAATTCTTCCTTTGTTCCTAAGAACTCCTGGTGCGCCTGCACGCCACCATCTTTCCTGCCCACACCTGGTCAAGGATGCTCTGAGTCCCCTGGTGCCACCACACCCACACACCTCCCAGCCCCCAGCAACTGGCAACATCTACACAACCCCAGTTTGGGATCCTTTGGCCATCTCCAGCCTACTGGCCATCGTTGTCCAAAGGGGGGGGGGGGTTTGTGGGGTCACGTCCATGTGGCATGACCCAAGCGCAGCATCCTTGCTCAGGCACATTGCACAGCAACACGAAGCCCAGGGGCCCGGAAGCGGATAGGGACATGGTTCACCGCAATGCGGTAAACCGGGTATGTAGCTGATTGTAATCTCCAGCGGCGGAAGCCCAGACAAAGTCTCCAAAGACTTGGAGACTCTTGAATTGGGATTGCCTGACGGCGGTTGTGTTGAGAGCCCTGATCTCTGATCTGCTTATCATCAAGTGTGTGTTTACTGAACAGTGGCAGCCTTAGGGTGGGGCAAGAGGGGCGACCACCCCAGGCCCCGCGCTTCTGGGGGCCCCGCGCTGGGCAACTTGGAAAAAATTTTAATCCCAATTTTTTTTATCTGATCAACCCTGTCACCCATGAAACTGGCTTCCGGGCGCACAGAAGTCAGGCGCCACATTTTTGGTTGGGTTAATAGCTGTTGGCTTGGGAAGAAGTTGAAATAATGCATCTTCTTCCTGTCCCTCCAGATTTTCTCTCCTGTACTACTTCTCCTCCCCCTCCTTGAGGCTTCCTGTCCTCAATTTTCTTGGGTGATTGCTTCAACCCTGAATAAATTCGAAGCTCAGGGTGAGCATCAACTCCCCTCCTCATCTCTCCCAACAAGGATTCCTGGATTTGTCAACCCTTTGCTCTCCAATTTTCATCCTCCTCCTGTATCTCATCAATTGAGTGCAATTCTTGCGCAGTTGCAGTTTTGCTCTGGCAATTGGTTCCAGGTGCTGTACTTGTGGCAAAAATTGTTGCACTGTGAGTCTGTGACTTCAGAATAGTTTATTCATTCCAGTGTGCCAATATTGCTCCAATTGACAATTATAATTATAGTGCATGGTTCAAAGTGGAGGTATTCAACAGTTATTGTCTTCTATAATTATAGGCAAGTGAAAATGAGTGGAAGGGACAGAGATAGATTTTGAAAATATGAACCAGGCTCAGTGAAAGCTAAGAAACGCAAACAAAGAGAAGAATTTAATGAAAGCCAAAAAGGGGCATTGAATAAATTTCTCACAAGAAATGTTCCTAAGCACAATTAAAATTCTGATGTGGTCCTGATTGCTGATACTAAAATTGCTGGGGACAGTAAAGCTGACAATGTTGATGATACTGAGAGCAAAACCATTTCAAATGAATCCCTTACTGAAACTAGTTCTTCTCAGAATATTTCCATAAAGAGAAACATATCCTCACAAAGTTTCCCAGATCTTCATGATCCAGGCAACTGGCAACAAATAACAGGTGCTGTGCATGATTTTCTTGTTGAGAAAGGTCCAGTCAGGCTACCAGAAGACTACATATATCCTGTTAATGAAGAAAAGAGGCATTTTCAAAGAAGTTCTTTACCAGAAAAATGTCAAACAAAGAATACATTGATAGGAGGTGGTTGGTTTATTCAAAATTAAAAGATGCTGCATTTTGTTTTTGCTATAAACTATATGGAAAATCATTGAATTCACAGTTGGCAAATGAAGGTTTTAATGACTGGAAGCATATTGCAGATAGGCTTAAAAATCATGAGCAATCTGCAGAGCACATTACAAATGTCAAGACATGGCTTGAAGTCTTGAAAATGCTTTCCAGAAATGATGGAATAGACAGTATGATGCTGCAACAGATAAAAACAGAAAAACTTCACTGGCAAGCAGTCCTGACTATAGAATACTGGCATTTGTGCAATATCTGGCTGAGAGTAATATTGCTTTCCGTGGGAAAACTGAAAAGCTCTATGAAAAACATAATGGAAACTTCTTGGGATTAATTGAGATGCTTGCCAAATTTGATCCAACAATGCAAGAGCACATCCATCGCATTAAAGATGGGGAAACACATGACCATTATCTTGGACACAGAATTCAAAATGAGCTTATAGAATTGATGGCATCTGAGGTGAAGAAGGTGATTATTGAAAAGGTGAAACATGCTAAGTATTTTTCAATAATACTTGACTGCACTCCTGACATTAGTCACAAGGAACAGGTGTCTTTGACTCTGAGGTTTGTTGATGCTGCAAGTCCCAACATTAGAGTGGTGGAGCATTTCATAGAATTCTTGATTGCAGAGAACACAACTGGTAAAGGATTGTCAAACCTATTACTTGCAGCAATAAATAAGCTGGGCTT